TGTAAATACTTGAAGATGATGAGGTTGAGAGAGTAAAAATGCCATTTTCGAAAAAAAATTCAAAAAACATATAAATGGCATTTTCGTAAATAAAATGAAGATGTGGGGTGAATAGGACAAAAACAAGATGAGTCAAAAGAAGAGGTTAGTTTTGTGTTTGACTTGGAGTTTTGAGTCAAATTTGCAAAAAGCCCGTGTAAATTTGCCGGATTGTTTCATCAGTGTCTGATGGGAAAAGTGCCTATTTCTACCCGAACAATTTCAATCGTGCCAAATACTACCCGAACAAACATCCAGTGCCAAATACGACCTGAACTACGTTATAATGCAAAAATACTACCTAAATTTTTTAAAACGTGCCTAAACCTACATTAACCGTAACATAAGTTAGTCAACCGTTAAAATGATAAACCGACGTCGGGAAAATGGCTTATTCCTACCCAAACAATTTCAATCGTGCCAATTACAACCCGAAAAAACATCCAGTGCCAAATACGACCTGAACTACGTTATAATGCAAAATACTACTGAACTTTTTAAAACGTGCTTAAACCTACATTGATCGTAATATAAGTGTTAGTCAACCGTTAAAATGATAAAACGACGTCGTTTTGATTCTATTATTAAAAAATGAACATTCCGGGACTCGAACCCGGACTTTATCACTATTTAAAACATACACATCAACCACTAGACTAAAGCAATTTTTTAAAAAAAAAAAATTACAAATTTGCAATTATATATGCTATTATACTTTTTAATCTTCTCTAATTAAAACTTTTGTTATTATAATTTTTGATTCTTATAAATATATTAACATATTTTGTAATTATTATATCTTCAATAAACTTATATTATACTAAAATATAAATAATAAAATATTTATAATCATACAAAATTAAATATATTTCATGTTTTTCAACTATTTACAAAATGTCCATATATAAATTATTTTAAAAGTAAAACTTAATGGTAAGTAATTTATTTTATTTTGGTAAAGTATATTCAGCTTATATTAATTTTAAGAAACAAAAGAAATTAACTTTCAAGTTTTAAAATTTTAAAATAATTTATATATGGACATTTTGTAAATAGTTTCAAAACATGAAATATATTTAATTTTGTATGATTATAAATATTTTATTATTTATATTTTAGTATTTATAAGTTTATTAAATATGTTAATATATTAATAAGAATCAAAAATAATAATAAGCAAAGTTTTAATTAGAGAAGATGAAAAAGTAAAAAAATTGCTTTAGTCTAGTGGTTGATATATCTGTTTTAAATAGTGGCAAGGCCCGAGTTCGAATCCCGGAATGTTGATATTTTAAAAAAAATAATGAAATGGGAACGACATCGTTTTATCATTTTAACGATTGACTAACTTCTGTTACGGTCAATGTAGGTTTAGGCACGTTTTAAAAAGTTCAGGTAGTATTTTTTAATTATAATATATTTCAGGTCGTATTTGGCACCGGATGTTTGTTTGGGTTGTATTTGGCACGATTAAAATTGTTTGGGTAGGAATAAGCCCTTTTTCCGACGTCATTTTATCATTTTAACGGTTGACTAACTTCTGTTACGATCAATGTAGGTTTAGGCACGTTTTAAAAAGTTCAGGTAGTATTTGTGAATTATAACATAGTTCAGGTCGTATTTGGCACTGGATGTTTGTTCGGGTTGTATTTGGCACTATTGAAATTGTTTGGGTAGGAATAGACCCTTTTCCCGTGTCTGATCTTATATCAAGACAAAAAAATTCTTCAAAAATAACTTACTATTTTCTAAAGAAGTTCATATTGTTGATTGATTTTTGTTTCCCGAAAGATCCTAAGAACAAGAGTATGGTGAATAGTGATAAAAAACTTAAAATCATTTTGCTCGGAAAGCAACACTGAAGTTAGTTGAGCTTTTGCCCCTTTTTCAGATTCTGTATAGTTGATTTTTTTTTTTTTTTCATGTTTCAAAATTGGTTACATATTTGTGAGGATGTAATATGTTTTTTTTTTTTTTTTGCATTATTTTAGAACATTTTTCTATAGTATTTGGTGTTGGTGTATACGTTTGTACATAAAACAATCTTCCAACGAGATAATAATATATGGCTCCGAATAATTATTTAAATGATATATCATATATATATGAAGATTATTAGTTAGGAAACAAAATATATAAAACCTGACTGTCATTGGATTTACTTGAAATCATTTAAATATTAGATACATATATATAAATAATCAAATTGGACATTTTGGTCATTTTATCTAGATTAAGTGTAGTTTTCAAAAACAATTAAAAGTAATGTAATTTTCAAAATATAAACTCGTATGAAGATACTTTTTCCAAATTTTTCCTTGACAGTATATGTAACTATGACCTCATATATAACCAAACCATATTAATTGTTTTCTACTATGGTCGATTCCTAATTGACATTATTAACATGCTACTAATAATTAACATTATTAACATGCTACTAATAATTAACATTAATATGGTTATCACAAATCTAATAAATTATAGATGATATTTCCTTGCTATACAATGAAACACAACAATTGCTGACAATTTTCAAACTCTCAATTAAACTAGCAGTATGAAAATAAAAAAATTGAAAAAATACTTATAATTTCAATAAGACTTTCTTTGTTATATTACACTGGTCATAAAACATATATATAACATTTAATTATTTTTAAAATAAATAATCAGAAAAAACTGTAAAAACTTCTTTTTAATGTATACTAGAATTTGATCTGTACTTTCAAAACGCAAGTTTATTTTCATAAATAAATATTTTTAATTATAAAATTTTATATAAGATAGTGTATAAGTTTTGAAACATTTTTTTGGAACTGAACCGGAAGCAAAACCATACTAAATTTATAAATAACGAATGAAACATATATTTTAAGAACTGAAAAACTGAATCCAAAACGGAGCCAAATCACCAATCAAAAGGATACCAAATTTTATTAATTATATATCTACAAATATTATTTATATTTTATGATTCATTCGGTTATTTATGAATTTAGTTTGATTTAGTTTTAGATAAACGTTTCAAAATTTATACACTATCTTATATAGACATTATGATAAAAAAGATTATTTATTTATAAAATAAATCAGTGCGTAGATCAAAATGTAATACATAACAATAAAGCTATATGACCGTAATTTAACATGACCGTATGTTGTGGATCTAGAGTTGAGAAAGAATGTAATCAAATAGTGTCTAACTCGCATAAGCTACCGCAAACAAAAAGAAAGTTCATAAGCAACATGATTTAACCCTCTTACTATACATGAAATAAATATATGCAAGTTAGGATCTACTATCTCTGATAAACCACAAATCAGTATAGTACATATACTGAGTAATTTTCTGGTGAAACAAAGTTGTACAAAACTAACAAAAGTACTTTTCCAAAGTTGACAAAGAGAGAAAAGAGCGTTTGAACATTTTCATAAAGAATCAACACGCCAGAACTGCACTAACAACAGCACAGAATATTTAATCCAAATGTCAATTAGTGGGAACCGTCGTAGGCACCCTCGTCACCCCACGATCGCTTCCGCAATGGTTTCCATTTCATATCCAACGGTCAGTACTTTTCTTCTAATTACTAAAACATAAATATCATAAAATTGAATATTACCAAGAAAGAAACCGAGTGACAATCGATTTGGTCAACAGATATCAAAACCAAAACCGACACGTAACTGCTAATTATCGTATTCTTTTCCAATGATATTTTAAAGATATTTAATCATTTTATTCAATAACCTTCTGGAACAGTAGAACTAGAAACATTCAATATATTTACTTTTTTATTCATGTAATGAATTTATAAATTCTTTGTAAGCAATTTCCCAAAAAGAATCCAGTATTGGTCCTCTCCAGTCTCCAGAGAACAAATAAATCTTCATTTATGATTTGCTTATAAATCAAAGTTCTTTTGTTCTTAAAAAAATTACCTGAAACCTAACACCACAAGAGTGATCTTTAAAAAGGGTTTAAAACACATCTTAAAACAAAGACCACAGACAGAGAGAGAGAGACAAAGCCATAAAAATCAGAACACAAACAGTGGTTCGTCCTCTTCTGTGTAAACAGTAGAACCTAAAGGTCAAACCTTTGAGGCTTTTCACGACGTTTAAATCAGATTTACTCTTTGTCAAAATCTCCAGAATCCAAGACCCATCTGCTCTTAATCTCTTCCTGGTAAGTTGACTTTCACCAACCCTCTCCCAAGATTTGCTTTCGTATCTTTGGAATCTCACTAACATAATTTTGCAGGCGGGTTGAGCTAGTCAATATGCAATTGAAATCATAGATCCTTGTAGTAGGGGTTCTGTAATTCTTTCAGTTAACCCGGAACAAACTTTACATGATTTGGGTGAATTTGGATAATAGTTTTTGTGTTAATTAGTGTCTTTTGAGAATATATTCATTACTTTGGTGCTGTTTTGATCATTAAGCTCCATACTTTGTTTATCTATGATGATGGATTAGTTAAAAGGCTTAATCCTTTAAGAAAAAACTCTTCTTGTGTTACAAAAAAAAAAGCTTTTCTTGTTGTTTTTTTTTTCTCTTCTGGTGAGTTTTGGATCATAAAGTTCCATATTTGGTTCATGTTTGATGATGAATTAGTAACAAAAGGCTTAATCTTTTTAGATTTTTATTTTGGGTTTTTGTTTTTGCATGATTCAACATTCTTTTTTTGTTAGAATTTATCAGTGGCTTGATGGTTTTTTTTCCCTCTGTGTGACATTCTTCTAGTGGTGGAACAAACAACATATCAAAACAAAAAGTCATGTCATTGGTGAGGTCGGCAGAGCTGTCCGCTGCAGCAGCATACAGGAACCCGAAGCTTTACTCATTGAATGAGAATGGTTACAACAGTAGTGGTGGTGGCACTTCTGTTGAAATCTTCGATCCAGACAGGTCCAAGAACACTTGCCTGACTGATGATTCTTACCCAAGCCAAAGTTATGAGAAGTACTTTCTAGATTCTCCAACAGATGAGTTTGGACAACAACAGCACCCTGTTGGCTCTGGTGCATCTGTTTGCTCATTTGGCTCGTTGGAGTCGCTTCCTTACCAGTCTAGACCGGTTCTTGGATGCTCCATGGAGTATCAATCACCGTTTGATTCAACCCCGACTTCATCAATGAGTCTCTTTGGAGGTTACCAAGCGGGAGGAGGTCTAAGTCCGAGCATGGAGTTTGATGATGAACAAATGAGATCAAAGATTCAAGAGCTTGAAAGAGCACTTCTCGAAGATGAAGATGATGATAAGATGATTGGTGTAGATCAACTAATGGAGATGGACATTGAGTGGTCTCCCAAAGAATCATCATCATCTGAAGTAGATTCCAACTCGCATGTAAGCAGCAAAGAAGTGGTATCATCATCACAAGCAACAACTCCAAAGCAGATCTTGATCTCTTGCGCTCGTGCGTTATCCGAAGGCAAAGCAGAGGAAGCTTTGTCAATGGTGAATGAGCTGAGACAGATAGTATCAATCCAAGGAGATCCTTCTCAGAGAATCGCAGCTTACATGGTTGAAGGACTAGCTGCAAGAATGGCTGCTTCAGGGAAGTTTCTTTACAAAGCATTGAAATGCAAAGAGCCTCCTACTGATGAGAGGCTTGCAGCTATGCAAGTCCTCTTTGAGGTCTGCCCTTGTTTCAAGTTCGGTTTCTTAGCTGCTAATGATGCAATTGTAGAATCCATCAGAGGTGAAGAAGAAGTTCACATAATAGATTTCGATATAAACCAAGGAAACCAGTACATGACTCTGATCAAAACTGTATCCGAGATGCCTGGTAAGCGTCCTCGGTTAAGGTTAACCGGTGTTGATGACCCTGAATCAGTCCAACGCTCCGTTGGTGGGTTAACAATCATAGGCCTAAGACTCGAGCAGCATGCTAAAGATCATGGAGTGTCCTTCAAGTTCAACGCAGTAGCGTCCAAGACTAACATCGTCTCTCCATCTACACTTGGTTGCAAACCAGGAGAGACTTTGATTGTGAACTTTGCGTTTCAGCTTCACCACATGCCTGATGAGAGCGTGACAACAGTTAACCAACGAGACGAGCTGCTCCACATGGTGAAAAGCCTAAACCCGAAGCTAGTCACAGTAGTTGAACAAGACGTTAACACAAACACTTCCCCGTTCTTACCAAGATTCATGGAAGCTTATGAGTACTACTCGGCGGTTTTCGACTCTCTGGACATGACGCTTCCGAGAGAGAGCCAAGAGAGGATGAATGTGGAGAGGCAGTGTCTTGCTAGAGACATTGTCAACATTGTTGCTTGCGAAGGAGAAGAAAGGATTGAGAGGTACGAGGTTGCAGGGAAATGGAGAGCGAGGATGATGATGGCAGGGTTCAGTCCAAGACCAATGAGTGCTAGAGTAGCAAGCAACATACAGAATCTCATTAAGAAAGATTATTGCAGTAAGTATAAGCTTAAAGAGGACATGGGTGAGCTTCACTTTTGCTGGGAGGAGAAGAGTTTGATCGTTGCTTCAGCTTGGAGGTAAAAAAGAGTCGTTATGTTCTATAAAAACAAAGACTTATTTATGTATTATTTCGAATGTTTGTGTTGTTGCATGCAACTGGTTAGGTCAATCCATCTCTCCTATGTATTATTATTAACCAGAGATCAGGGATATGATCAGAGGTTCTAAAGCTAACCTAACACTTTATGGTTACTATTTGTTTTTTCGTCTCTCTTATATAAAAGCAGAGTTTTGTTTACATGCTTGTATGTCACAAAGGTATTAGTCTTTTTCAATCACATTTTTATCAGTAGGAAGACATTAGGAATCTTACATTTTTGTTCAGCATACTAAAACTCTAATCAAGAAGAGTTAAAAAACGAAATACAGAGAAGAAACACATCACTGAAAGATCTAAACTTGCTGCTCTTGTTGCTTTCCATTAACCACCACATTTTGCTTCTTCTCCTCACCTTTCATCTCCAGCGACTTCTCATCCTTTTCAGCAGATTTCTCGCCTTTGTTTCCGCAGTAGATAAAGTAGAGAATCAGCTGAAGTGTCCCTAAAGCACATCCAAACCCATTTGGGATCTTCCAACAAAACATCAAGATTTAGAAATCAAGTTTTTGTTTTTCATTCTAAAGGACAAAAGGGTGAAGAAGTTCACTTACTGCAACAAAAGGGTCACGACCGATGAGACCATAGATGAACCAAGAAGTTCCACAGAGGAAGACAAAGAGTGACAAGAAGAATGGCATGTACTCTACACTCTTAGTCTTTATCACCAACCTCTGTTTCATCAAAAATTCAAATATATCATCACAAAAATTGAAGAGAGACGTGTCTTGATTGATTCTTTTGCGTTGTTTGCTTACCATGATTGAGAGTGGAGAAGCGTACATGATGATGGAGAACACAGTAGCTGCAATACCACAAAAGAGTTTTCTAGCGTTTCCATGGAGGGCAAAGAGAGAGACAAGAGCCACGGTTGCGAATACGGCCAAGACAGCAGTGAAGACAGCAAAGATCTTAGCTTTCTCCTTCTTTGGTGCGTAGATAAGGAAGATCAACACGTAGACTGTCTCTATCACTGCTCCTGTTCCGTTAATTGTGCTCACAAGCGTGTTGTCTTTTGACACAAAGGGAAGTCCGTACCTGGAAAAAAAACAGAGGAAACAGAGGAATCTCAGAAACAGAGTTGTTAAAAGCGATGGGGATAGTAGTAAAAAGACAGTTCAGATTTGAAGAGTGGGTTTTAACCAGGCGGAGAGGAGACAGTTGAGGAGAGTCATAGGGTAAGGGATGCCTGAGAACTGTTCTGTTGATTTGTTCTTGATGATTCTCTTGAATGTTATCCTACAAGGCAATGAAATTAAAAAGTAACAAACTAAGCCAAGAACTTCAAAGAATCCGAAACAGAGTCACCAGATAAGAACAGAGGGATGAGTACGTACGAAGGAGCCAAGAACAGAAACAGAGCAGTGGCATTTCCTGTAAAAGAAGAAAAGATAGTCTTTCTTTAGTGACTTCTCATGGAGAAACAGAGAGAGAATGAGGGAAATGGTTTACCGAAAACGCCGAAGATGGTGTGAGCGATGTTCATCTTTTGATCAGTTTCTCTTTTCTTTTTCTTGTATCTGAGAGTAGAAAGTGTGAGAGAGAATGTGGCGAGTGTTGTGTATCAGTAAGCGTCTTCCTCCTCAGGGGTATATAAGATATGAAGAATCAGCGTGTGCCAACAACCGCTTCACCGCGAAATAACCAATTATTATCATATATTGCAAAGTGGTCCAAATAAATTAGTTAAATTATATTTCTTACTGGATTTTTTAAAAATTACCAAAGACTGTTAAGAATAATAGAACTGACAAAGAATTATTTGTTTCTTATAATTTCTATATTTCTGGAAATGAAAATTTTAGCCTTTACTTGTTTCGTCCTCGGGAAGTGATCCACACCCTCTGAATACACCCTTGTCACGATTTTTTGTTTTCTGTGTTTCTATTTTCTCTTCAAACTATTTTGTTAAGACGTTTTGGATTTTTTCATTGTTCCACAAAGAAAGATTTTATAGAATGTCATTAATGCTTTTTCTACAAAAATTAACTCAGTTAATTAACATTTGATACTTACGATGACATGCATAAATGTTATTTGGGTAAAGACAATATATTTGATAACGTTCAACAACTTCTTTTTATTTTAAGTTTTTTTTTTCCAAAAGCACAAAGACAACAGAATAAAATACAAAAAATAATGAAACAAAAAAAAGAGAAAGAGATGAAATCTAAAACCAAACTAGAAGAAATTTCAAAATTAGTTTTTTTTCCTTCATATTTAATCATCTTAGTAAGTTACATTCATTTTCTAGTAAGTTACATTCATTTTTCAAGGAATATGAACAGTTAAAAAGAAGTGTGCAAGATTAAATTGCAATCACTATAAAAGTAAGAAAAACAAATATCCCAACAAATCTAGATGTAAAAATAAGAAAACATTAGTTACAAATACTTAAAAAGAAAATGCATTTGCTGTTTCTTAATCTCTGTGAAAATCTCTAAACGTTCTACTTTGTGGAACGGAGGTTATGGTTTGTATACTAATCTGAACAAAATATACCAAAAAGAGCAACTTTTTTAAAAAAATTGTTTTTTTCCTAATATGAACCTTGTGAACAAGCCAGACTGTTCAGAGCGCGACATTTAGATTGTGACTCGAGCCTGCATTTTCTGCGGTGCGTTGGCTGGTATTCTTTTTTTCATACTTTTGTTAATAGGAATCTCCGGTAAATTTCGATAAATTTGAAAGTTACTGTCTACATCATCGAAACCCAACCAAACCAAAATCCCCCTATATATTAAAAGAGAAGTCACTTTAATGAATTTTGCTTACCTGTCATTCATAGGTACAATATAGAAATAATTCTCTTAATTTGATTGGTTGTTGGCATTTGAATTTTATTTTATTTAAATAAAGTTTTTTTAAAGGAAACTAATCATAGAATTACCTAATCTAATATATATTACCAAACAAACAATTAACCATCTTAAATACATAGGATTAATATAATTTGTTTACAGAAACAATTAAATATCACATATTCCATTATAAAAATTTAGGATATACATATAAATACATATTATATTATAGAAATAAGTATATAAAGGATTTTAAATTTCTTTCTATTAATAGTGGATAAAAAATCATACATTACAGAAAACTAATAATATTTTTATACTCACTCACTATATATATGTATTCTTAAAATATGTTCAATGAATGGAAAATACCAAATGTAATTTTTTTTAAATCTATAATTTTCTAGAGATAAATGTCGATAGTATAGTTGAGTTATCACTTTCAAAAATTATTTAAGTATTTTTATATTTAAAACAGAAAATTATATGGTATGTCATTTTTAAAAATATGAATATATAAAAAGTTTATTATAATATAAAATTACAAAAAATCAAAACATTATATTAATACAAGATTAGAGTTAATATTCTATTCATATAATTCATATAGCTTTAAGTATAATAAAATTGGCATATTTATTTTTAATAAGAAAAAAAAAGAGACATAAATAAAAAAATGAGTGAGTAATAATAAAACCTTTTGTTGTATTCTTCGTTATTTTGTATTTGTACAAACATAATTTTTTATTTGTATACCAAATATTTTTTACGTATTAATATAATTGTAAACTAATTACTTTTAAGTGTTTATACAACATAAGGAAAAATTGAGCAAGGAAGATCAATATAAATGATAAGTTATAAAATTGTTAATGTTGAAGATGCAAAATATAACGTAAATAAATTTTGAAATAAATTATTTTAAAATAATGATAAGTATTTTTTTGCGGTGTAATAAACTTTAAAAATATATGATAACAAAGTTATAACAAACTTTATACAACTAGAAACATGTTATTTGATATATTAAAACTGTTGAATCTCATGTTTATATTAATCTATATCTAAAATAATGACGTCACATCATTTAAAAATTAAGATATTTTATGTTATATAATTATTTAATCAAATTTACTTTTTTGAAATACAATTATTTAGATTTACTTAAAATATGTATATAATGAAGTAATTAAAAAAACAAAATTAATAATAAAATATTTATTTTTTCAATGAAAATCTTGGTCAAAGGAATCAATGTTTGATAAGATAGTGTGAAGATTGGAGGAAATTTGATAATGAATTTATTTGGTTAGTCAATTGTGATTTTATATTAAATTCTAAATAAAAAAATCTGTAAGAAAGGGAGAAAGAGAGGGATATATGGTGATGATAAGGATTAGAGAGTCGGTTATGATCATAATGAAGATGAAAAATAATATAAGGGAGAGACTGAATATAAGTGAGATAGATTCTGAAATCATTTATTAATATTATGTTAAAGTGTTTAGAAGATTTAACAAAATCTGGTGAAAATTTTGCAACAAAAAAGAGATAGAAAGAGTTTTAAAATGAAATATTGAGAATCATATTAAAGACAATGGTAAGAGAATGAATATATGTGATTGTGAGAGAGTGAATGTAAGTTTGAGAGATTTTGAGATTATTTAATCAACTGAGAGAGAGAGAAAGAAAAAAGAGAGCGAGAGAGGTGTACAAAGACATACAAAAATAATGCAAAGTGAGATACATAAGAAACAAAACGAATGTGTGAAAAAATAAAAGGAGAAACGAAATGAGTAAAATAGAAAAATATATTAACAAAACAAAGTATCTATGTAAAAGAGAAAGAAAATTACAAAATATTTATACATTATATTATTTTTTATTCATGCAATATATAGATTATATTAATGTCCGCACAGGCGTGCGGGCCGTCCACACCTAGTACAACTTTAAATTTAACGGCACTGATAAGTAAATAGTAAAAACTAGAAAGGCAAATTTATATAAATCAATTAACGTGTCTTTCTTCATATCATTTACTCATTCAGTAGTGTCCCACTTACTCTTTCCATTTTTTTACAAATAAGATGATTCATCTTTGTTAGTATCGTTACATACAATTTTTTTTTTTGATTTTTTGGAAAAGATGGTTGTATATTCTTATTACATTTTGATTATTTTCTATACGAAAATTATGATTATTTTTTTTTTTTGTTAACAATACCTAAAGAGTTATTGATGACGCTATATTGTTTTTTTTGTTTAATCTTAAAGATATTCCAAAGCTATAGAGAAAATAATGATGTAATCCATTCATTGTATAATTAAATAAACCATAAAATATGTTTATATCCGTGTTAACATAATATGAAATATAGTAAAATGTCTTTGAATCTAGATTACTTAATAATCTAAAATTTCACCTATCACTGAATCACCATCTTGTGATTGACGCTATCTATTGTTACTATTGAAAAACATCAGCTTCTAACAAAAATACAATGGTAATTATAAAAAAAACTCTATATATTGTTAGTATTGCATTTTTGTTAGAAGCTGATGCTCTTTATTAGCACCAGAGTGACCAAGGTGGAAATGTTATCCAATCACCATTCACCACGAGTACATACATAGGTCGACCCAAGCCATCTGTTTACGATAACTTTAACCGGGATAATGCCAAAAAAATATTTGGTTTGATTACGAGGCTAAGGTTAATGTATCGATCAGCGTCGGCAGTTGAGTTGTTTATGGAGGATGACCTAAATGGTCGTTTTGTGACGACACCATCATGAAAGTGATGGTGATCTAGAGAAGGTTTAACGCAATATTTGCCAAGAAAAAAAAATCCGAAAAATAAAATATTATATCATCTAGCTTTTATCAAACGATAGATTAAATTGTGTGTCGTTTTCTGCGTCAAGATCTGTTGAGATTCTGACATTTACATGGAACAAAGTGATGTAAATAATATGTAGACAAAAACAAAAGAATAGCGCAGTGGACTGTGATATAAGTACGATTCAGTCTGCAAGCAATGTGGATACTTTATTATGCGTGCTCTGAATGAATACCAATCAAATTGTTATCCTTTGCTCAGTGTTACGTTTATATTCGAACTTAAAATGTAGAAAACTTATTAATACCTTCGATTGTTGATCAAATTTAAAACGAAGATATTAACGAACTCAACTAGTTTTTTTGTTGCATGTGTTGTATTAATAGCTTTTTTTTATACTATTGTGATTGTTTCAATCAGGTTAATGTTTTTAGTTTGTTTATTACTCAGTGTATAACTACTACATACAACAATTTTTTTTTTATCAATATAGAGAAAATGGCTGTTTGAGGTTCGGTTTGAGTCCCACGTCAATGATTGAAAAGCAAAAGATTGAGAATTACGGAGAAGAAACGATAATGCTTTAGAAAAGGTGAAATGATGACGCTAGGATCCGAATATTTTTGGACACCACATGGCATGGCATACCTCTTCACGAGTCACGTAGTTATTTCCTTTTCCAGACATATCTACCTTCCATCTACTATTTTATATTTGTTTCTTGAAGAAACCTGGACCATTCTTGTGTACTTTTTTGGGTTAGAACTTAAGCAGGACTATCGTTAGCATCGAAATATCAGAATGAATGGATTAAGAAACCCAATAAGTCAATAACTAATATACAATTGCATTTTATTTTTCATATCTAGAATACAAATAATAGGCTGTTTAGAAAAAAAAAAAAAAAAGAATACAAATAATAGCCAGCCTAGTGGTTTGCCAAATGCGAGTGATCAAACGAAACTTCTATAAGACTTACAAGATAAGCTCTAGAGAAGATCAATAAATATACACAGAATCTCTCTAGCTACTTCAGTCTTCATCCTTGATGTAACAATTCAACTAACAAAATGTTTTTGTTTTATCCAAGTTCTAAGAGTTATTTTTTATACGATCGAATCAAAAGAAAATGAGATATACAAGAAGGGTACTTACATTCATCGATTGGGGACACAATTTTATGAATAGATTTGATTATAACTTCTCAGAATTAAATACTGGCTTGCCCTAAAGGGTAGGGCTTTCTTCTCGACCTTTCTAACTTTCCATAATTGCTTTTCTTTGAAAACTTTGTACCTTCGAATGTAATGGTTATAATGTATTAGCACTCTTCTTACCTACTACGCTTCTGGCGTCTACCTCCTTACGATCCTCTCGTATTGATGGACTCTTATCACCAAACTACGCAAGTCTTATCATCATCAGAAAGTTTCAAGATCATTCAAAAATAAATTCTTAACTCTTTAGTGTCTTTTTGGTATGCCATTTTCAAAAGAATACACTAGATTACGGCGAAGGCTGAGTAACTGTTGGGAATATGTCAAATCTTTGATGTTATGTGTTATCCAAAAGCTTTGTAATATATTACCTGAAATACAAAGTTTCTATTTAATTTGATGCAGTGAGCTGTTTATACACGGAGGTCGTTTTTCGATATCATACACACCAAACAAAAAGATTTGGATCAATTGTGATAAAAGGGTGATCTATAGAAACATGGCATGATGATTTACGTGTGGAACTCTATTTCGTGTGATTATATTATTGGTTTCTTGTCGGTAGATTACTCTAGCAAAGCTTTTGTCCTTCTACAGACAAAGCATCTTATTATCTTTCTGGTTGCTTCTCTAAAGTCCAAATGAAATGTCGGCCAAACAATTCTCAGTTCCTTTTATCCGTTAAGAAAAATCTGCAGGATTTGATACCAGCAGAAAATATCTACATAATATTTGTTTCGCCTGATTATTGCTTGTACACGTTTCATGATTTTGACGAATTATACATTCTAAGATGTATCAAAAGTATGCCAAGCGTTTTAGGCGAAAGAGCCATCAGCCCATCACTAGAGTGTTGGTATTTGAGTTTCTTCTGAAGTTTGAGCTTCTGAATTCTACTGAGATTCTGTATACACTATTTTGGTTTTGGCATTCATGGCACTAAGAAAAGTTTAGGTGGAACTTAAATTTTGGACTGATCATTTAAACTCAAAACCAAGTAATGATGAATGTATTGATCCGAGTCATATATACTAGAATTTGTTCCTAGCATCTTCGGTTAGGAACCGAATGTATTAAGAATCAAGTACACAGGGTTAGGTATTTGTACACACCAAGATGCTAGAAATTTACAGATTAATTTGTTTTTAATACATTCGGTTCAGTGATCTTGTGTATTTTAAACAGTTGCTACCTTTTGCTATTGTTAGAGCTGTTAGATATATACAATTCCACCTAGACAAGATAAAACAATACAGTAGGATGATTTGATGTCCTACATGCACTCTTACTCTTCCCTCTTCTCTTGCATTTGCAAATTGCCATTTTTATGATTCTGTTTGTCCTGATCATAATCACCACTTATATATATATATATATTCATATGGCAAGTTTCCACGTGAAGAATATGATACATGCTATCTCCTGTGAGGTTACAGAACTTGGTTTCACGGTACTGCCGAATTTAGTTTTCTGTTCCAACTTGGTTTCTTTTCTACCTTACAAATTGCAAGTGAAAGAATCAGTATTCTAATGAGATTTAGTCAAATAAGATCTTGTACATTCACTGAGAAAATCTTCTGATATGTACAAAAAATTAAGTTTACAAAAACTACTTACCTATCTGTGTAAAAACCATTAAAGAAACTTAAACATCATCACTGTGAAAACAAGAGATTCTTGTGGGATGTTGGAACCTACCTCAAGGCAGAGGCATAGGAGGTCTCCAGCTACTGAAGTGGACCAGTTCTCTATTCACAAAACTGCCATTATGCAGCCAAAACGTCTCGGTCGATTGGTGGAAATGTCTCACTTTGCGTTGAAGCTCCCATAGAATTCCTTTAACCGCACTGCATGGTGCAGAATCTGGACCGTACACAAACAAACATCTAATCTTCCGACCACGGGATATCATTCCTTCTATGTCTCTATCTGTGAAAGAAAGAGTCATGCCATGTTAAAGTTATTAACACTTGAGATTCTGAGCAAACCAAATGAGAAAATGCAGTTTTGAAGTAAGTTATTGTTACCGGGTATTGAAGCTAAGTAATCAAGAAGCTCTGAGCCTATTCGTGATGATGGCCATTTGATGGATACTTGTGCGTAGTCGATGACATTCTGGAAAGGTAGCTCAGCGTGGTCAGATAAGAGAACCGGGACACATTCCTGAAACAAGTAAATCACAATGTTTATGAGTATATAAGTAAAGTTATTGAAAGTTTGGGTAAAGAGATGATAGATCAGACCACAAAGAATGATTCATAAAAGCGAAGAGTCCAAGATGATTCCCCACGAGGAGCGAGGCAGAACTTGGCGTTCCTCAGATGTTCAAAATATGTTGTTCTTCCAAACTTTTCAGTTCCGCTGAACTTCAAGTCTGGACATTCTACCTGTTCACAAAACCACTCATAAGAATCAAACAAGCAACGAAAAGACAACCACGAAGAAACATGCAAATAGTCTTAAGCAGATAACCGATGGTTTATGAGAAAAATGTATGAGGAGTCTTTTTGAAGAAACAATGTGAGACTAAACCTTATCTGGATACTGCTTTGAGAGATCTATCAATTTGAGTCTACCAGCCTTCCCTTGCGCACGACCCAAATAATTAGCTAAATACTTCCTCTTTGACAAAGGCTTAGGCAGAACATCAGGTCGTCCATTTTTAGTCATAGCATCATCAACGTTGCCTGGGATGATTATATCTTTCCATGTATTGAAAGCAGTAGTGTCTTTCTTGTCAGTCCTGTCGCCCTGCAACCGCAAAGCATTCATTTTTCTGTACTAAGAACCTGGCCCAACTGTTTCTATGCATGATACTATAAGTAGGCACATAGACCATCCAAATTACTCGGACAGATATGGAACAGAGATTTTGACATAGGCCCTTCACTACCAACACCGTATACACTTCAAAAGACAGAAATTCCTCAAGAGAAAGAAAGCTAAGTACCTCGGGAGTGAGGATAATAGAACGGTTAATAAAAGTCGACCAAGATCTAAACAAGTGAGCTCCAGCACCACTACATTAGCATAACAAAGAAAATTAACGTCAAAGATGGCAAAAAAAAAAAACAATACAATTCATCAAAACAACTTAATTTATTGATTAAGTTGCACAGTTATATACCTTGGGAAAACAAAGATATGATCACGACCACCAGATCTTCGGAAATAAGGCATTTGACTCAAGACCTAGTGAATCATAGAACATAAGTATCATCATCAAAGATCTGCAATTTGAATCAGCGTTTCAGGATTTCATTCACCTTGACATAGGTCTGATTGATCTCCTTGTCATTAAGACCACCCAACATTCTCACACACTTAACATAAGCTGGCACAAAGAACAAATCCGCCTCATCTTTCTTACTCGTCCTAAACTTTGACTCCATAAGCAACTTGTGTATCTTAACCTAATCATCATCATCATCACATTCATAAGCAACAGAATCAAACAACCATACAAACAGAAGCAATCAAGTAACTAACTAATTAACTAACTAACTAACACATCTCCCCACTTAAAAACAACATTGCTAAATCCAAGCAATCACTTCCAGTTGATAATCCAATCAGCAACCGTAGAGATTCGAATAACACCTGAGATCCCCATTGGCCTTTCAAGCACGCGGCGGTTTTAACACTACCGTCCCTTCCGTACATAAGCTCTTTCAAGCCGTCGATCTCGTTCTCATCGTATACGTAGATCTTCAGCGAGAGGTGGGATCCGTACCCTCGCTCCGGCCACCGTGGAGCCCCGTCATCGCTCGTCGTGAAGACGGAGGAGGAATAAGTGTGAGTGAGATCGATCGCGGGAGTAACGGAGTAGAGGTGATCGAAAAGCCTGGTGAGGAAGAAGGTGGAGACGACGAGGAACAGAGCTCCGATCTGGTGCGTGCGGGTGCAGGGAGTGGAGTAGTGACTGTACGCACCGAAGTTTCTAGGCTTACTCGTTAAGCTCGCCATCTCTCTCACTGTTTGTTCGTTGGAACGTTTTCTCTGAAACTGAAAGCATTTTCTGGGGAGAATTTGTTTATTTTATATTTTAAATTAGATCTTGCAGAGACGTCGAGATCAGAGCGTGGGGGTGTTAGCTAAACGGCATCGTTCGAAAATTGAAATATAAGGACGAGTTTTCATGTTCTCTTTTTTTATTCTTTCTTTTCCTTTTAAATTACGTTAACTAGAACTAGATATAACCAAAAAAACAAGAATCATATGCGAAACTGGAGCTGAACTGAAATATGAATTAGAGTGAAATCCTTAAATACTCGATATAACATAAATATATATAACTATTTAGTATTTGAAGATTTTAGTCTGATTCATATTTCAGTAGAGTTCCAATTTGGTATATGATTCCTACTTTTTGGAGAAACCTAAATTGTTATAAGTATCTAAAATATCCAAATATTCTATCCAAAAATATTTGGATATTTTTATCTGAAATATTTAAAGTAATCTAAAATATTCAAAAATTTTATACGAGTCATACTAATTACTCGACATTTTATCCAAATACATAATATTTAATCGGAATTATCCGAACTATTGAAATAACCAAATTGAAACCAAATGAAAACCATTTTTCGTGTAGTTTCTGGTTACTAATTTTACTATTTGAACTGAATCCAAATAAAAAATAGATACAATTAATGTATATAAATCCTCTAACCCATTAGCCGAATTATCAATACCCGGATCGATATCTGAAATTTCTAAACCTAACTAGGGACTCGAGGAGATGTTCAACATGCATAAATTGTTTGGATTGCACCAATTAACATCAACCAAGGAGAAAGTTACCAATAGGATCTGGATTGAAACCTGAAATAAACCATCTCATGTAATAATATTACTTGACTATATGACCTTTAGACTATGCATATAATATTTTAGCTAGACACATTTGGTTAAATGAACAAGTTTTCATTGTTTTCATATAATCAGATTTATTTTTGTTACAGTTCTAAGACTTTTGTATGAAAAAGAGCTGTTGTTCACTTGTTTTTATTTTCAAATCATGTAAAATGACGCTGTTTCATCTAATTTGAAAACGATATTGTTTCACTTAACGCAAACATTTAACGTCTAGTTAGCATTATCTTTATTGTGGACTCACAGTGTGTTAATATAGTCAGTCAATCTTAAGTTGCTTAATAAACTAAAAAGTTAACAAAAGTAAAGTATTTTTTCTTATCAGGCTCGAATACAAGTTGGCAATTCGTGCAAAATTCGTACTTTTTTTATCGAATCCCAAAATTTAAACATAAAATTATAGAATATTTTAATATGTAACTAAAAAATTGGAGTGGGTCCTGGAACGGTTGCACTGACCGCCCCCTATGTTAAGCCAACACTGTTCATACTCCTCCTTCAACTACTCTATCCTTTCTCTCAAATCTTCTCCCCCAACTCTCCCCCAAATCTTCTCAAACAAGATCCTGAAAAGATCATGAAAGAAGGATCTGGTTTTCTTGAGAACCTTGCCAAAAATCTTCACAACCCAATCTTTGGCTTTCCTGAGAATCACCTTTGAGACCTCCTTCAGAACTGGCAAAGTCATTTTCAAAAACTTCACACCAAATCATACGACACTTTCTCCATCCATTATTTTTTTGGCTCTGTCTTTGCTTTGCTTTCTTTCTTGTAGGTTAGTAAGTTCATAAATAAAAGGGAGCAAGCAGAGAGCCTTGTTGTGGAAGAAAAAAATCACTCTACCTTTGTTGTGTTTTGTCTTCATTTGGTGACAGTGTACTGTGAGAGGAGATGGCTTGTGCCGCCTATTGTACTTTGTTATCTCCAGGGAGGGGATTGTCGAGCTCTCTTTATTATCTGAAAATAACTTCAGCTAACATAACCTATTTTATAATTAGTATTTTGTCTGGCTGAAGCTTAACTAACTAATATCCGCAGAAACAAATCTCAAAACCAACAATATTTACATATTTTCCCCAAAGCATCCTCTTTCATAAACCGAATCTTCTCATCCTTCTCCTAAATTTTTAGTTTTTCTTGGACAATCAAGTGACAGTAAACTATTACAAAATTATTGTGTAATATCTAAAATAAAGACATGTCAGAGTGATCCAGATCAAGATCATGATATCAATCAACATCACTTCCTCCCAAAGATTCGATGAACACCAAAATAAAAAAGTGCCATCATCAAGCCGTTGATTTACAAAACAAAGACACCACCTTCATCTATCTACATATGTTTGGCTTGGCACAGAAGTAACAAATATCGAAACATACAAACGTTAAAATCCTCTGAAACAAGCTTCCCATTTCTTTTAGCTCAATCAGGGTTACAGAGAAAATCAGTAACAAAACCGAAATCAACATCAAACCAAAAAAAAAAAAAGATTTGCACCGTCGAGGATGACCAGAGCAACGATGACTGTGTCCTCATCAGCTTCGCATGTCCTTTCATCTCTTCCAAAACTCGAAACACAATTTAAATAAGAGGAAACCTTAAACACAAAAGCACCTCCGGTTACAAACGCTGTTCACAATATCTTCGGCAATACATTAACCGCCGCGTTTCGTAACAAACATCACAAACAAGAGAGATAGAAGATTTGCACCGTATACATGAAACTTATAATACAGTGACTTTTAAAGCTATCTTCGTTTTCGTGTCGGAGCAGCGAAGCTCACTGTGTTTGGGGAGAGAGGAGAGAATAGTGGGAGAGAACAGGTTTGGTTTTATTTTAAAGGAGAGATATGCGAGGTTAGATTTTGTAACGTCCCGACCGTCCACGGCTAATGGGCCACTCACACCCGTTCTCTCGGTCCATGGGACCCATCCCGTTCCAATGGCTAGTCCGTTCATTTTTTAAGGCTCTAAAAGTCATGTTTAGTGACCCTGCAATCACCACATGAAATTTCCATGTGCTTTGGATTCACTTACACGGTATCACAAATCACTTCTCGATAAGTCACCCAGACTATTCCAGCTTAAGCACATTTAACTCTGGAATTCTTTCTAGATGTGCTCCCGAAAAGGTAAGTGCACTTTCATGATATATTAGATAAATCAATTCTCTCAAACATTTCTATAGATCAGAATTCAGGATGTTACAGATTTATTTTAAAATGTCATATTTTCATTAAAAATGCATATACTGTACTTATCTGCATCCATGTCATATTTTCAAATACTTATTTCTTGACCCTTGTCTACCATCCACATCAGTCCGTAAAGTTTATATAAATAGACAACGAATCTATATAATAATGATTCACTTTAGAAGCTCCTAAGGCTATCCACATCAGCAGCCGAGTGGACCCCACGTATTTAAATTTTAAAAGTTTATAGTTTTTTTAAAATGTCTATAAACAATGAATACACTTTAGCAAAGTGGTATAAGACATCTAACTAAGTCTGCAAGTGAGTGGGTTCAAACCACGCAGCTGTTATGTATTTTAGTTTTTTCGTTTTGATTATTCATATAGGCTTTTTAGTTTTAATGTTTTTTTTTCCTCTGGACTTATTGTTTAAAGCCCAAAATAGTGGAAAATCCTAAAGTTTGACGAACTCAAACCCAAAAATAATTAAAAATGGATCAAAAAACAAACATCAAAAAAAAGAAAAAAAAAACGAGTCTCACGCAGCACTGTCATATCCTATATATATTTTTACAGTTAGAACATATTTCCTAATATATATTTTCAAAAAATTATGCATGTGAAATAAAATAAAATAAAATAGTTTTGTTATTTATAAAATATCTATGTAATTTCTCTTCAATTTTTAATAGTAGTTTTAATGTTTTAATGTTTTTTTTCCTCTAGACTTATTGTTTAAATTCCAAAATAGTGGAAAAATCCTAAAGTTTGACGAACTCAAATCCAAAAACAATTAAAAATGGATCAGAAAACAAACATAAAAAAAAACGAGTCTCACGCGGCACTATCATGTCCTAATATATATTTTTACTGTTAGAACATATTTCCTAATATATATTTTCAAAAAATAATGTATGTGAAATAAAATAAAAAAATAGTTTTGTTATTTATAAAATAACTATGTAATTTCTCTTCAATTTTTAATAGTTACTATAATTTCATTTTTATCAGACTCCGGCGGATGGATTTCCACAGTCGATGACGCCGTAAAGAAAAATACCACATTATTCATGAACAAAATCCAAACTTACAAAAAAACATATCCAAACCTATCTATTGAAACCCAAACAACAAATATTAGCTTAAATTAAAGTTATTTTCAAATTGATAAATCGTTTAGTACAAATATAAATACTATAAATAAATATTTATAT